ACTGCTGTTTATTAACGGCACAGGGAAAGGTGCACACGTTTCAGTAACGAAGGAAAGAAAACCGGGGTTCAGCTGGTAAATGTCATTTCAATGCAACTTGTCCTTGGAAAGACCCTTGGTACTGGGGAGGTAAAAGGAACTTTTTGTTGCTTGTATGTCTGTGGCCTCCTGGGAATACGTGTGTCTTAGGCTTCCGAGTGTTCTTCTTTCATGGAAAATGAATAGTGGGTTTCGGAGAAGAAATCTTCCCCCTTGTATGCTTTGATACCTGGGTCAATAGGACAGACAAGCCAATTCCTGCTGCTGTGCCATTTATTTATGGCATTATTAGCAAATGTGATTTATAGATATCCATATACCCTTGATACCAACCCTTGTATCCAGAATTAAAGTAGCTGATGCAGAAGAAATAAATTGGACACTGGCAAACTTCATAGCAAGCTTATGAGGCAGGGAAGGCTGGGATTGCTTGGTTTTTGGGGGTGTAGACTAGTGATTAGGACAGGGGGACTTGGAGTCCTGGGTATTCTGGATCTGGGAGGGAGTATGGTCTAGTGTCAGAGCAGGGGCCTAGGAATCAACATTCCTAAGTTCTCTTCATAGTTTTGGTACAGTAGAGCAGTGGGTAAGTTGCTTGGCCTCACTGTTATCTTGTGGCAATGAGTTCCACCGGTTAATGATGCTTTGTGTGGGGGAAAAAATAGTACTTCCTTTTGTCATTTTGTGTGGTAAGGCTGAAATTGCATTGGTGGAGTCCTTGGAGATCTTGGGATGAAAGAGTGGGGACTGTATTTGTCTCTGTACAGCACCTACCACGTGGGTCCTGATTCTGATCCAGGCCTTCAAGTCACTGCTGTAATACAGTGTAATATTATTATTGCTGTTTTTATTGCTCCCTGTAAAAAGAAGCAGAGGGAAAAGCAGATGCACAAATATCATCCCCATCTTCCCTACCAAAACGTCACGTTTTCAAGGAAAAATTGTCATTTGAAAGTTGAAATTTGAAAAATGTTCTCCTGCTGCTGTTACTGTCCACAGAAAGGAACTGTGCGGGGCTCAAAACCCAGCCAGGGAGCTAACGCTTGGGCTGAAAAAGAAGCTGCCAAGAGCTTTTAAGGTTGATGCGGAGAGCAAGAACAGCTCAGCTTAGTTGAAAAATGAAGAGCTGCCAACTTTGGAATCCTATTGCATGCAGCTTAGACCCACTCCCTGCTGAGACATGCTGTCTCGTTGGGGCTGCTTGTAATGCTAGGCAGCTTGGTGCTTTGCCTTGCTGGGTCACTTCAGCCTCCTCGAAACAACCTCTGAAAAGATTTCTGCCGGTCAGGTCTCTTTCCAGGGCCATTTAGCAGGCGAAATTCACTACTGTGCTGAGGGCTAGTAGTAAGCATGGAGAGGAGAGGCAGGGTGGGCTGTGGGTAGAACAGCAGCCACAGACCTGGGCTTAAGTCCCTGCTCTTCCACAAACTTCCTGTGTCACATTGGTCAAGTCACTGGGCTGTCTCAGTTCCCCGTTATAAAATGGAGAGGAAAGCATTGCCCTACCTCACGGGAGTATTGTGAGGATAAACACAGGAAAGATTGTGAGATCGGGGACATCAAAATGCCTCCAATCGCCTTATGCTCGGACTTCCCCGCAGCAGCATTCTGCCTGTGTGCTACCGAAGGCAGGATCACAAGCCTGAATAAACCAATGAAGTGCAATTATCCCGTTTATACAGATCAAGGAACTGAGGCCCAGAATGACTTGCAGGGTATGCCTACATTGCAGCCTGGGGGTGTGATTGCAGCTCATGGAGACATACCTGAACGAACTTTAGCTCACTCGAGGAGCAGAGCCGTGGAGCCGTGGCAGGTGGCAACTCAGGGGACCTCACCAACAAAGTAATTACCCAGGGATCCAGGCGGGTTTGTATAGCACAGGTGTGTCTGTCGAGCTGCAGTCACATCCCGTGACTTTAGTATAGAGACATACTCAGGAGTCTCTGTCAGAGCTGGGACCCAAAAAGTCTAGTGCTTCCCCCATACCCCCCCAAAATCCTTCCTCTCCTTGTCACAGCTGATACCTGTCTCTTCACTGCATGCAGTGCTGCACACTTGGTCCCAGGTTTCCTGGAGCAGGAGGAATAGCTAGCTATTGTTATGGTTTTGTAATTGGGAATGAGTTGAGTTTTGCACTTAAAGCCGGGATTCCCTTGCTTGGTGATGTGTGAAGAATGACAACACATCTGCCCCCTCCCCCCCGCCCCCCCCCTCATATTGCTATGCTTGCTTTTTCTGAGGACAGAATCTTAAACAGAAGGATTTAAAGAAACACAGACGTCAAACCAGATTGATCAGAGCGCTCCAAACCCAACTGGTGTTAGTAACAGAAAAACTCCAGGGCTGTCTTGGCTTCTTTTTAAAATTTTCTCTCTAGTACCCCTTAAGAAATACCTTTCCGTGTCAGCTTGTTTATTGGCTGTTCAGGTACAGATATTTAAAAATGCAAAATTGAAGAGTCACTCAGAAAGCAGCAAAGAATTTAAATGACCCAGGCTAATGACTGGCCACTTGACTTCTTATGTCTTAAAAACCAAAAAACAACCGCCTTCCCCCTCCTGCTTTTCCAGAGTGTCAAAAAGGAACAGAAATTCACTGGTTTATTATGGCCGTCTTTCCCCATCCTCACATGTGTACAAAAATGCTTCCTGTTTGTGCCCTGGATGGTTCTCTGCTCTCTCAACAGGCCTGCGGAACTTGTGGCTAAGATATGACCCTGGATTCACTTCCCCGCTGTATCCCAGACTTGCTGCACAACCTGCAGCCAGGGTTTGAGTTGCTCATTGCCTGTGTTTCGGGGTATTTTTGAAAGTGCTTCAGCTCCCAGCTAGGCACTTAATAAAGGACAGATTTTCAAAAGGGCTTAGCGCCTACTCTCCACTTCTATGCTGCTCCATTTGGTGCCTGAGTGAGACCTTAGGTCTTATGGAAAGCTGGCCATGAATCGCTCTGCACTCCTGTAAAATGGGTATAATATGTCCTGGTGTCAGTGAAATTTCCATTTGCTGTAAGGCTCCTTTGTGCTGGTCATCAGCGCATGTGCAATGGGCCCAGTCATTTAACAGCATCATCATCAGCCAGGTGGAGAGCCGATAGCCCGCCGTCGAAATGAGTCACTGGGCGCTCGACAGTGATATGTGACAGAGTCTGAAATGAGCAGCATCACGGGTCATTCAAAAAACTCCATTTCAAGAGATTGGCCGCACAGTTGCCCTGTCCTGCGGTTGCTGGAGAGGTATAAAGGGGCCTTAGGGTAAATAAGATTCAGCCCCAGAAGTTCTCCCTCTCTTGCACTGTTGTCGCCGAGTCTAGTTAGACTGTAAACTTTTTTGGGCAGGGATTGTGGCTCACTCTGTGTATGTAGGGTTGCCAGGTGTCCAGTTTTCCACTGGAAAGTCCGGTCAAAAAGGGGACCTGGCAGAGTCCAGTCAGATTTACTGACTGGACACAAAAAGTCCAGTTAACACAGGCAGAGGTGGTGGAGATGCAGGGTCATTAACCCTCACCAGCCCCAGCTCAGCCAGGGGTGCCTACTACCTGCATCTTGTGGGCAGGCAGGCAGCAGGCTCTGAGTCAGGCTGCAGCTCCCATCCCAGCCCCGGAGCAGAGGGAGCCCAGCTGGGGTGGGGAGTGGGAAGTGGAAAGAATCGAGCTGGGGGAGGGGGAGAGCAGTGAGTGATGGGGGGAGAGGGGATAGGAGCCAGCAGGGGGGGGCGGGGCCTCAGGGGAAGAAGTGGAAAAGGGGGCAGGGCCTCGGGGGGGAGAGGCGGGGCAGGAGGGTCCTGTTTTCAGAAATTAGAAAGTTGTCAACCCTATGTGTATGTACAGCACCTGGCTCAGTGAGGCCCCTGGCTCAGTCCCGACCCCTAGGCCTTGCACGCAATAAATAATTAAAATGCAAGGAACCACTGCAGGTGAATTTATGCCGAGTCTTCATTTGTCGGCACGTTGCCTAGATTTTTAGACAATGATATAAGAAATACCTTGGTTGGGCAAACAGATTGGGTTAAGTTAGGCAGTCTGGAACCTGCTCTAGACACGGGTTTGGTCCTGGTATAACTGTGGGTTCGAGGGGTGATTTCTTTTTTAAAACTGATATAATAATATCAGTACCAGTGTGAGCACAGACTCACTCACACTGGTATAAAGGAGCCTTGCACCAATATAGCCTAGTCCCCTTCCTGTATGGCAATGACTGCATCAGCGTCAGCACCTTTCTACCAGAATTGCTGCATCTACACGCAGTATAGTATAGAGTTAAAGCAGTATTTAGGCAAGGCCTAGATTGACCTTCCACCCCCCTGAGCAGTGTAGTTAAGCCGAGTGTCCGTCCCCCGCCAACTCCCCAGGTGCAACAAGGCTGATAGAAAAATTCTTCCATTGACCTAGCTATTGCCTCTCGGAGAGGTGGGCTAACTACGGGAATGGAAATCCACCTTCCATTGATGTAGGAAGCATCTGCAGTAGGGTGCTACGGTAGCCTAGCAGTGTCTGTTGTGTAGACATGAACTCAGACACAGTGGTGATGGGCATGGTATAAACAGAGAGTGAGAGAGAGAGATTAGCTGCTCTCTGTTACCAGAGTCGATGTAAATAATCTTAATGCAGTTTTGTTTGTCCTGAGGCTAGGAATTTTGCTTGGAGTCCTTTTTTTTTGGTGGTCATTTTGCTGGTGAATTTATTTTGATTGCAAGCTCCTGGGGGCTGGGATGGTGTCTCACTATGCGTCTATGCAGCACCTAGGACAATGGCATCTGGATACCTACTGAGGCCTCTAGGTGCTACCATACTTTGGCTCAGGGACTGTCTTTTTGTTCTGTTTATACCACCCCTAGCTCAATGGGGTCCTGGTTCGTGACTGAACTCCTAGGGGCTACAGTAATACAAATAATACTAATTAGAAGGCTTTGCTTGAAAAATGTTTTAATTCCTTTTTTTTTTTTTCGTCTCTTCCCTAGGTTTCCAAGCAGCCTCTGGAGGCCCAAAGCACCTGGAATTAACCAGACGGCAGCATAACATGAACTGAGAAAAAAGCAACCTGGATTTTTGTTTGTTTTTTTGGTTTTGGTTTTAAAAGCTTTTACATAACAAAAAAATTCTTTCATGAAAACGTTTTAAAACAGGGTTATTTTTCCCCTTCCCCCGAACAAGAAAGTCGTCCCCGTACGGTGAGGATTTCCGGAGAAGATGGGGAGGAAAAAAGATCCAGATCCAGCGGATCACGGATGAGCGAAATCGACAGGTCGGTAATTCCTGATTTGATACCTTTTGTAGGACTGATTCTGCCCCTCCCCCCCACCCCAATTGATGCTCAAAGACCAAACTCCCATTTATTTGTGCCTCAGTTTCCCTATCTGTAACCTGAGGATAACGGCCTACATTTTCCAAAGTGATGAGCGATTTTGACTGCCCAAGCTGAGACGCCTTAAAGAGGCTGATTTTTCAGACCGTGCAGAGCATCTGCTCCCTAAAAATCTTCCTTTAAAGTGTCTCAAGTCAGGGCAACCAGAATCACTAGTCGCTTTGGCAACCTGGTTTTGCACCTGGGGAGTTTTAGAGGTACAGCCCCCAGCTCGGTGCAGAGCAGTGGCATTACAACACAGCAGTTCATTAATGCGAAATCAGGGGCTAGACGCTGCATCTGGAGTTCTCCTCTTAGAGCTCAGCGAAGCTTTTCCATTGAAACATTTTATTCCAGATGGAAAATGCCCCTTTTCCCCCATCCTCAGGGGGTTGTGACCTGGCCCAGTTGGGTTTAGCCTGGAGGCTCCACCGTCATGATGGAGGGGCCACGGGGCCAAACCTGAGCTTTGCTGCGACCCCGAACGCCAGGTTGTGGCAGCACTCAGTTTGGAGGGCAGTGCAAACTGCGGGGTGGGGGTGAGGGGGAAACTGTCCCTTTTTGCCCCCACCCTCCGGCTGGCCCCATCAGTGCTTTTCAGGATCGGGCCCGTGGTGTGCATCCAGAGTATCAGTCTGTCCCCTCTCAGCTGCAAGATTTTGGGCATGAGTGTGTGACACCTTTGGCTCTGCCTGAGTTTTAGGGTGACCCTGGGCTTGGCTTGCTATGGGCCAGCTGACATCTTGACCAGAGCACAGGGGACTGAGCTGCGGACCTCTCAACCTCAAAGCTTCGGCTGCTGCAGCCTGATCTGAAGAGCCAAAGGTCCGTGATCTGGAGCTATAACACTGTATATCCCCTGTGGATTGAGCACAGATTGGGGGTGAGGGTGTCGGGTTCGATAATGATCAGCCCATAATCCATCAAACTTGCTGCAACATCAAAAGACTGCAACTGTCTCCGCTCAAACCGATGGGCGGGGGATTGTCATTTTCCCTGAGCGTGGACGGCATGGTCAAGATTACATAGAGGAGGAGAAACAATCTCACAGGGGATGAGTCTGCACTAGCAGGAGGATGGATCAGATAATGGGGATCAGATAATCAGCCAGGCCTTTCTTTCTGTCTCTCAAAGCTCTTATTTATAACCAGCAAAACGTACCCCCATCTGCAACGTGCCATGCTGATGGCTGTACTTGCTGCCAGCAGTTCTGTAGCTAGCATTGGAGATTCTTCAAGTCGGCTGCTATGGGGAAGTTGTGGGTTACTGCTGCAGCAGAATTCTCCTAACCTTCAGAGAACACCCTCAAAATTGTGAGGTCTTAAACTTAACCCACCGTGACAGATGCCCTATTGAGTAGTTCTTACCTTATGGATTCCAGTGGGTTTGTTACCTTGGTGGCAATCCGTGGGATGATGTTTTGTTTAAAAGAAATGCCTCTGAAGCACATTAAAACAAATAAATAAAAGCCCTGGTGTGCATATTCTGTGTGATAAAAGCTCGGTGAGGGAGGGTGGGCCGGTGCTTAGAGCTGGGGGCAGGGAGTCAGGACTCTTGGGTTCCATTTTCTGGTTTTGGAGAAAGTTTGGTCAGGTGGTCAGGGCTGGGTAGCGGGAAGCAGGACTCCTGGGTTCTATTTCCCATTCTGAGAGGCTGTGTGGTCTAGTGGTCAGGGCTGGGGAATAAGCGTTAGAAATCCTGGGCTCTGCTCCCAGGGTGTCTAATGGTTAGAGCTCGGGGGCAGGCAGTGAGAATTTTGGGGCCTGTCTCCAGTTATGGGAGGAAGTTTAGCTTAGTGGCTAGAACGGGGTGGAGTTGAGATCTAGACTGCCGGGGCCAGATTTTCGAAAGATCCCCAGCTCCCGACACGCAACTAGAGCGACTGAGTACTATTGAAAATCTGGCTCTGCTTTCAGTGCCTGAATGGCCTCTGTTAATTGTGTCACGTAACGCACGACTGGAAGGTGCTTTGAGGCTACGGAGGTACACATGGGATAAGGACCTCTATAGCTTAGAAGAGAGAGAGGCTTTTTGGAAAATAGGACCCCAGCAGTGCTGAGAACTTGAAGAAGCCTAGCTTCAAGTGACTTCCCAAGGTCGCATGGGACAGCTATAGCAGAACCAGGAACTGAACCCCCGTGTCTCCTGCAATGAGAAAGGTGCTTCTTCTGTGGACCACTTTGCCTTCCTTTCAAAGCCAGCCTCCAGTCTTGCAATGTGGACCTCAGCACCTGGGTGCTCTTAGCCTGGGACAAGGTCGGACGGTACCACAGTGGCACCCCCTCGGACTGAAAGATTCCAAGAGCTCGCCGATTGGAGAGACACGCGAGGCATAAAGGTGCAAGCAGCGTGCCGTGCACGTTCACCTTCAATTGCCTTCAGCTGCGGCCCTTCTGGATGGGGCTGCAGCCCGAAACTGGTCTTCGGTCTCATCTCTGGGCCCACAGTCGGTCGCTGTAGCTTCTCCGTCAAACTCGATGGGAGATTCCGCATCATTCCTAACCCAGCGCAGGGCTTTTGCTGCTAAAAGGAAAACCATTAAACCATCTGCAGCGAGTTCCTTCCAGGAGCTTTATTGTTCCACGGTGAAACAACAGAAAATTGCAGGTTTTCTTCATTAAAGTTTCACTTGGGTGGGCAAAGGTGCGGGGGGGTGGGGGGCGGTGGTGGAATATTTTTGAAAGTATCCCACTTGCTCAGGGCAGTGTTTATTTCCATAACGAGCAGGAAATGGTGCATTAGTGATTAGTAAAGGAGCTGGAGCTTTTTTTATTGGGGCAGCACAGCTATCTGGCATGCCAGTGCATTGCTGAATGCCGTACATGGGCGGAAGGTTAGAACATATATAAAGCTGGTTATTGGAGCTCTGTTCAAAGTTAAAATGAATGGAAAATATTTAGTAATCCTGGAGTCCGAAAGCCTCTTCTAGCCCTCTTTTATTACCTTTTAGGAAAGGAAAGGAGTGAATTCGCTGCCAAAGCCCAGGGTCCAAGTGAGCTGTAGGTTGAGGGCTGGGCGCGGGAGGGGGGGTTGAGCTGCTATATGCCATGTGAGTTCCTTTAGTCAGGCTTTGGTGAGAAGATGGTTGGGACTGGAGCAGGGTCTTGAGATTAAAGCTCTGGAGTAGGATGTGGAAGATTTGGGTTTGGTTCCCGGCTTTGTGCACTGACTCACCGTGGGCAAGACCGTTAATCCTTCCGTGCCTCAAATTTCCCAATCAGTAAAGTTATTGTACTCGACTCTAATACCCAATTGCCCCATTTCATTTAGTGACAAAGGAACACCAGGGTGAGATGGCCTACTGCCCAGCGCAATGGCCTGGTTTATGAGACCTGGGTTCTATTCTCAGCTGTCCTCCTGGGTGAACTTGGGCAAGTCATTGCCCCTTTCTGTGCCTCAGTTTCCCCAGCTGTAAAATAGGGATAGTCCATCCCTGGTCCGTCATCTTATACATAGATTGTAGGCTCTTCGGGGCAGGGAGCTTCTGTGTTTGTACAGCGCCTAACACCACAGAACCTCAATCAGGGACTCCCTCTTTGCTATCATCGAATAAATAAATAACTATGAGGAGAAGTTGTAAAAATGAATGAGGAGGGGAATATTGGCTCTCGGACTCAGTTTCTCCCGCCTGCCTGCCTGTCACCTTAGTGAAGTGCTTTTCTCGGCTGAGCTTGTGAAGGTAGGGTGGGGAATAGAAGACATCTGTGACAGTCTGGTTCCCACAGGAGCTACTACTCAGGGTTGCCAACGCTTGCAATTTTATTGCGAGTCTCACAATACCTGGTGCTTTTTTCAAAGCTCCACCTCCTGGAGTCAGGTGATTAGGTGAGAATATTAGCTTGCTTTCTTTTTTTTTAAAAAAGTACATTTCTAACTCTCACGATTGCAGAGAACAGCTTGGGAACATGACCCAAGTGTGATCCAAAAGGCTCAGAAACCAGAAAGTGTAGAGAAAGTGCCTTTTTTTTCTTTATAGCTCATGATTTTTAAGCTTGGATTTCCAGGGGTGCTGAGCACGACAGCCCACGCTGAAATTGACAGCGCTGCGGATGTCCCCCGGGTGACTAAGAACCACTTTTGGCTGTATGCACTGGATCCCCGACCACCGGCTGTCATGCTGACCGATACCATGTCATTGTCTCCTTGTATTCCCCCATCTTCAGTATCCATCTGTTGTCTTGTTCTTAGGGTATGTCTACATTGCAGGTAAGATTCCCGGAGATGTACTGGCTCGAGCTAGTGCCTAAAAATATGTCGGCGGCGGGTACATACTTGGACGGCTACCCCAAGCTACTACCCGTGCTGCGAGGGACACGCTGCTATTTTTAGGTGCAAGCTCAAGCAGAGGGAGGAAACGCCCCTCCCAGCTCAAAGGTAGATGTACACTTAGATCGGTCAGGAACCGTCTGTTCTGTATCTGTACAGCATCAAGCGCCGCAGGGGCTGGGTCCATGCTCCTAGGTGTTTGGTAATATAAAAGCAACTGAGATCATGGCCCCAGTGAGCTAGGCGCTGTACATACCGCAAAGAGATCCCAGTCTAAATAGAGAAAGCGGGGGGGAAATGAGACCCAGAGAGAACGTGACTTACCCAAGAAGTCAGTTCTGCTGCTAGTACCCGGGTTTCCAGAGTCTCCGCTCTGGGCCCAGTCCGCCAGGTTACGCTTCACTCCCCGTAGTACCTCTCTCCTCCGCCTTTCTTCCTGCTTTGCCGCAGCGCCACCAGCAGGAGAGATGCAGGCAGCTTGGGAGCCAGCGTGAGGACAAAAAAAAAAAAAAAAGAAGAATCTGGCAGTGGGATTTATAGTTACTATAAAGGGGCTAATGGAAAAAGAAAAAGAGAGAGAGTACAGCATGTACATGTTACCTATAATAAAAACACAAAGTGGTCTGATACAAAGA